GAGTGTTGACACTATAACTCAATCCTGACACTACCTACCTGTAATTAGCGCAGATCCCGCAAGACTGCCCTCCACTGCTGATGCCAATCATAAGTCCCAGGTTGTCACTCATATTTCTAACCAACTGCTATAAATCGAGGGTTCCTTCAACCTCCTCCTGAGGTTTGATAACTCACAAGACTCAGGGAAACGTTTACTTACATTTATCAGTGTATTAGAAAGGTTATAACAAAAGATATAGATGAAGAAATACACTCGGCAAGGTATGGGGAGGAATATAGAGGTTTCATGTCTTCTCTGGGGGCACCACACTCCCAGTACCTCCATGTGTTCACCAACTCAGAAGCTCTATGAGTTCTGTTGTTTAGGGGTTTTATGGAGATTTCATTACACGAGCATGATTGTCCTTTGGTGACTGGGTCAATTATCAGCTCCTCTGTCTTCCTCAGAAGTGGGCTGGGGTGCTGAAAGTTCCAAACCTCTAATCACCATAAATGGCTTCTCTGGCAACCAGACCTCATTCCGAAGCTATCTAGGGACTTTCAGCCACCAGTCATCTCATTAACATTCACAAAGACAGCTATTATTCAGGAGATTCCAAGGGTCTTAAAAGCTCTTGTGTTGGGAACCAGGGAGTAAGACCAAATGTAACAAAAGATCCTCTTATCATCCCTGTCACTCAGGAAGTTACAAGGATTTTAGAAGCTCTGTGCCAGGAGTTGGGAGCAAAACCCAAATATTTCTTTCTTATTCTATCACAAAGGCTCAGAGAACCCTGACGAAAGTTGAGTAAAGGAGGGAGCCTGTCAGATAACACAGGTCTTGAATTTGGACCTAAATGAAGATGATGTGGGTCAGAGATGGAGGAAACTAATGAACCAAGGGCATGGCAGGATTGTCTATGTTGGCCCTGGGGACACTTAAGGGCTGAGTGGGGGGCAGAGCGGCTGTGACTGTGCAGAGGCCGCAGTGGCCACATGAAGGGCAAGAGAAGTTCTCCTTACTCGTCCTATGTCAAAATGACAATGTCTTCTGCAGATTCTCCATTCCTTAGAGCAATGGTCCTCAAACTTTAGCATGTATTAGGATTAACTGGAAGCCTTCTGAAAACAGACTGCTGGACCCACCCCGGGGTTTCTGGGTCAGTGAATCTGGGAGAGATCTGAAAACTGCATTTCTGAATTCTCAAGTGATGCTTCTGCTGCTGATCAGAAGACCATGCTTTGAGAACCAATTTCCTAGAGATAGACGTCAGGAAAGGGAGAATGATGACTGACTGAAGGATTGTCCGTGTCCTTTTCTCGGGGCCTCTACCTGAGATTTCCCTCAGTGAGTTGTTTGTAGAGGGTAATAGATGATTTCCACAGCCTTACCCAGATGGGCTTTACTGGGCTGCCGTCTCCATCTCCAGTTGCTCTGAGTTTTCGCTGCTAATTGCTCACAGCTCTCCCTTCTCCAGAGGATTACTCTCAGTGGCCACCTTCTCCAGAGAGTTTTCTTCAGCCAAAGGGAGCTACCTCATTTGGGAGTTAATTCCTCTAGAGCTCAAGGGTGGGCCCATAAGCCAAAGACTGACTCACATGGGCTACAAGAGGCTATGTCTTATCCTTCAAGATGGGACTGATTATAGTGTGATTTTTTCCTGAAGCTAAACTCCAGCAAAAATTGCATCTTAATTCTCCTTTTTCCTGGCCCTTTCTGCTTCATAGATTCCCTTTCTTCTGAGACCATTCTTTGAATAAGTTATGTGTGCCTCAATTCTTGTCTCAGATTCTGTTTGCAGAGAACTGAAGCCAAGTCAAGAGGTGTTCATAAGACCACCAGAGCAAGACTGGATGTGCCCTAGGATACGCTGTGTTCTACTTCTCCTATTTTGGGAATGCACCTCCCAGAATTGACACAGGCACTCTCCAAGGCTAAGCGCCACCTGTGTCCACACAGTCCGCAGAAAAGATATTACATCCACAGACTAACTGCCATGGGTGAGACCATAGTGGTTTCTTACCTCCTGCTACGGGCTGCTTTGCAAATCTGGGAATAGGGCAATTAGAGAGGGTCTGAGTCCTGGCTCTCTGGGACCTTAGAACCTTCCTGTCTTGCCTGAGAACTCTTTCCAAAAGTGTTGTGATCAGTGGAGCCTTAATGATTCTAGATGCCTCGTAGGTTGTTTGTGGGGTAGTAGATTTATGGACTCAGTTAGCTCTAGTGTACCTGATTTGCATAATAAGTTGTGGGAACTTCTGGTTGGAAGAAAAAATTCCACAGCAATAATAGTGTCTGTGACGGTAATGCTGATAATCACCCGATGGTAAACTTTTAACTACTATAACAGACTGGAGCTTCTGTGACACTCCTGGAAAGTCCAACCCCTTTCAGAAGGTTCTAAGTATAACTTTTCTTGGGGACTAAGCTCTGCTATAGGGATTGGTTGAGGAGAGAAGTGGAAAATTTAATGTCTTGATCTTTTCTTTATCAAGTCTTTTACATTATTATTATTGCTGCCGTCATCACCATCATCATCATTTGTGACATTCTGATCTTGACTCCTACCCTCAAACCTGCCACTCACCTATGCCCACCCTCCACTGCAAAGAAATTTCTCTTTCTCATTTCTGTTTTCTTGGCTCTCTCCAGAACAATGTTTATTTTCTCTTCAGGGACACCCACTGGAAGGCGTTAGGAGTATAGAACCTGGATTTTCGGAGCAGGGGCAGGATGAGGGCCTTTCCCAGATACTCAGGCACAGTGCATTCAGGCTGAAGGCTGCAGTCCTCTTTCTTCATTACTTTAGGAATGTTGGTCACTGGGGCAACTGCAGGTTCCTGGGTTAGGCTGAACCAGTCAGTAACTGGAGAGAATTTTATACATTGTGTCAGCTCATCCTCCTCTACCCACTTCCTGGAACTTGGTTATCCAGATCTGACCAGGTCTGGAACCCGTCTGAAGACTGTGAACGTGCCCGAGGTCCTTAACCACTTCAGAGATTTAAAAGAAGCTGAAAAAGGAAACATTTCTTAACACCACTGGTAGCTGGTTCTGTAATCTCCTCACTGCCCTCACAACCACCTAGTGGTTAGTACAAGATTTAATGGTTTACAGCCAAGGAAAGCCAGATTTTTTTTAAAATTCATTTTTTCTTATTAGATGTTAAGTTTAAGAAAGCAGCACATCCAAATATTTTGAAAATGTTTCCCATTTTTTCATGTATTAAATATACACCACTTAGGAATTTTAAGGTCTTAAGAATCATTTTCCTAATTGTTTTTGGTTCAGTCAGTTTTTCATGTTTCTGAATAAACATAAAGTCATGGATTACATTTGTTTTTCTTTTTCTTTTTTCTTTCTTTCTTTTTTTTTTTTTTTTTGAGATAGAGTTTCGCTCTCGTTGCCCAGGCTGAAGAGCAATGGTGTGATCTCAGCTCACTGCAACCTCCGCTTCCCAGGTACAAGCAATTCTCCTGTCTCAGCCTCCCAAGTAGCTTGGATAACAGGCATGCACCTCCATGCCTGGCTAATTTTTTTCGTATTTAGTAGAGATGGGGTTTCACCATATTAGGCTGGTTGCAATTCCTGACCTCAGGTGATCCACCCGCCTCGGCCTCCCAAAGTGCTGGGATTACAGGCGTCTGCCACTGCACCCAGCCCATATTTTTACTTAGGTACACAGCAGGATTATGATCCCCATAATATTTGAAATTACTCACTGATATTTAAATTTCCTGCATTTCAAGTGCAAAAGATATTTTTAAGTGCTAGTATCTATATTCCAAGTAATTTGTGAAAAGGAAAAACAGCGATTTCATTTTACTTCTTCATCTAATTTATTTCCTTAATATCTGGTTTTCTGAAGTCTGCTTCCATTATAAAAAACATATTTTACTTATAAAACGGCACGGGGCAGATAGGGCTTCCTAGCCGGTCCTTTGTGCCTCTGATTAGGAGTGGGTTTTGTTCTATTTTGTTTTGTTATGTTTTTTACTTTTATGTGCCTTCAGATTTTAACAGGAAGCATGAATTAATTTTATAAGCAGAAATGTATGCATATTTGTTGTGGAGAGAGAGGTTCTTTGAGAATCAAAGCCTCCTTTCCTGTGGGAGCCCGGTCAAGAGACCTGAGCAGGAGGGTGCAGAGGGGCCCGGCACGAAACCATCTGTGCTCATGGTTGCAGAGCTAACAGTTCCAGTCAGTGCTTTTATATGTGCTAAGGAAAGTTCTAGAGCATTTTTGAGAAAAACAGAATACTGAAGAATAAGGCAAGAGAATCAAGAAAGCAGGGACAAAGTGACAGAGAAAGAAAAAGTATGACTCTGGACATATTGTGGGATGGGGAAGACACCACACAGAGCCAGGTTGCTGCAGATTTTTTTTTAATTCAAGACAGTGATCAGAATAAGTTTAAAGTGGAGGAGCCTCAGCCTGAGGAGTAAGCCCATCATTCAGAATACAGGGACATCCTGCCCGGTTGCCACGACCTGAATGCACTGAGGGACAGGCAGCAAGGAAGGCTCCGGCTGGGTCTGACCCAGAAGGGTTTTAGGATCCACCGTCATGGAGATGTCCTTGCCTTCATGTGAGGTGGGGTTTCTGCTCCCACTCTGCCTTCAGAGGTCCTACATGAGAACTACTGGGTGGCAGGGGAATAAAGGAGAATTAAGGAGAGAAGCGTTTAACAATGCGTGCCTATCTTACAGGACAGAGGCTGTGAAGGACACCTAGGGTCTTGCTGCTAGCTCCTGCTTTCTTTAAACTTTCAGGAAGGGGAAAAGACAGATGTCACAACTTCTGGGGATTGCTTTTTTAGGGACACAGGAGAGTCTGAACCATCTACCCTAAAATACGATTTTCCTTTTGAATAGATATTTCAGGATCAAAGAGTTGGGGAGATAGATTTTCTTTTCCTTCATCTTCAGACACACACACACACACACACACACACACACACACATACTATACATACAAACAACTATGCATATGCCAACAAATACAGTTCTACAGATCCACACACACATGCTAAGCAGCTGCTTGGGTAGTACGGGACGGTTTGGTCATCAGGAGGCTGGTTAGGCAGATGTGGAGCAAAGATGGAGGAAGAAGGATGCTTTGTTAGACATTCCTGCAGGCGGGAGGCCAGGTAGTTGCTTCTGTTAGTTGCTATCATTTCCTAGTGGGTTAGGCTTTAGGTACGCCAGGATGTCTGACTTGACTGTGCTGACTGGAATACGGTGGAACCAGCGCATGACAGGGACTCCATGGGGCCCAACCAGAAATTTTTCAAAGTTCCAGCGGATGTCATGGACTTTCATAGGCTCCCAGAAGAGTTGGTTTGATGAGCCCAAAAGATCAGAGGTCGGAGGGCAGGCGTTCTGGAGCACAGATATAAAAAGTAGAAGGATACATTTATGTCTACTTCCGTGTGGTAGTCTTATCTTCATACTAGAGAGTCTACTCATCTTTATGTATCTTAACATAATAACTACTTCGAATGCTTCCAATCAACTGCAGATACTGCAGTGTATCAATACCAATACACTAACTGCCAAACAACCAACAGTTAGAGAGTATAATAGTAAATAGACAGCATCCATTCCCTATCTTTCCTCTATTCCTTTCCTCTAGTCCAGGCGTCCCCAAACTACGGCCCGCCGGCCGCATGCGGCCCCCTGAGGCCATTTATCCGGCCCCCCTCCGCACTTCAGGAAGGGGCACCTCTTTCACTGGTGGTCAGTGAGAGGAGCATAGTATGTGGCGGCCCTCCAATGGTCTGAGAGACAGTGAACTGGCCCCCTGTGTAAAAAGTTTGGGGACGCCCCAGTCCTTTCCCTGTCTTTCCTCTATTCCTGTGATTTTATCACAGTGATTCAGTAAAAGACTGTTTTCTGTTCCCTTGGGCAAGCCATATCATTTCTACAGTTTGTTTCTTTTGCAGGAAAAAAACAATAGGTTGATATAGAGTAGTGGCTCCAGAGTTGGGGGCTTCATAGACTTCATAAGCCAGTAAAAGTTCAATAACTGTTTCGTTGGGAGATTAATGTAGAATCTCTAATACTCATTTTGCCAACAAGGCAAATTAAAAGTCTACTATAACCATAATCTAAAAATTAACGGACTTTTAAATACTATGTTGAACCACATACAATTGATTATAGCCCATTTTTGAGCAAGTAAAGGGCAATTTATGTGGGTAAACATAATAGTAATTTAATGTCAGAATAAATGCTGGTCTTATATTCAGTAAGTTGAGCTTCATTAAAAATTCTATGTTGTCTTTTTTTCCTTGTTTGCTGTGGATGAGTGAAAACTTCACCAGAACCAGCCTTGTTCTGCAGACCAGCATTTGGGGATGAGTAGACGAAGAGATCCCCAGGGGTCCTTCTGTCCCGGGATTCTGTGGTTCTTCTAACACCCTGTGACTCTAAAGGCATTTACCACATGCTATTCTCTATTATCCACGTCTGTCTCCTGATTAAATATGAGTTCCTTCAGGGAAGAGACTATACTGTATTAATGTTCAATCACTCATTACATAGTACATACTGGGGATTTGATAAATGATTGTTGAATGAATGAATCATTACCATTCAGTACAGGAGGTTAGTCCACGTCAGACCTATTGTCCATTGTGGGTTTCCTCTACTTAAAGCTAAAGCCTCACAGCAGATATTGCCATGAGCCTTGAACTTATCTGAGCATCTCTTTTCCAAGGAGTCCAACCCCAACCCTAGACATGAGCCCCACTGCTTTCAGGGCATCTCTATCTAGCCAGTCCATGCCAGGTTTATACTCACCTTCAGGAAAGTAAAGACCTTCTGTTCTTTTTCTCCATTCACATCCCCTTTCTCAAAGAGCTGGAAATTGGGTACAAAGCCGCTACCTGGACGCACATACCTGCAGTGAATCAAAGTGTTCCCAGCAAGATCCAAATTAAGACATGCATGGAAAGTAATGGCCACCACCAATTCACCATGACAGGAAAGTGAAGATAAAGAAGAGGATGTAGACAGGGAAGATAAGAAAAAATAGTCTGTGAGAAACAGAGCTTCATGCAACAGGCTTTATGGAGCCAATAGAGAATTCTAAGAAAATTGGAAGACAATATTTCGAGCTTAGGTTTCCTGACTCATTTCCATTTCTTATATTCTCTTCCTTCCCTTCTGCTTCTTTTCCAGTCAATCTTCCTTAGCCTCACCATCAAAGAATTCAAAAGTTAAGAGAATATTTTATCACTGCAGATAGGATAGATTGAACTCAAAACATAGTGATATACTTCAGCCCATTTATATACGGCCCATCCCAGAAGTTTCCAGAATGGGCAGGCATCTAGGTGGAATGTGGAACAGAAATCCTGACAGGGCCTCTGCAGGGTCCCATGCAGGCACTCACTTGAGACCAAGAAGTATCTCTGAGTTTGCTCCTGGTTCTTGTTTTCCAAACTGGTTGCAGGGAAAGCCCAGCACAATGACTCCAAGGCTCTTCAGCTCCTCCTGGAGTGCATTCAGTTCTGTAAGTGGAGAATGAACAGCCTGGGTGGGCTGCTCAGGAGTCCTGCCTCGGGCAGTGAAAGATTACTGGATGTGCCCATTTATGACATGAATAAACTGAGGACTATGAAGGGAAAGATTCATGATTGCAGAGATCAAAGGAGTAGAGAGGGGAAAAAAAGACTAGAGCACATGTTTCCAGAAATGCTTATAAATGATTGCTATTTTACAGTAGTTCCCATGCCTGGATACTCTTTACCATCCAATGAGAACTCTTATTTTTTCACACACACACACACACACACACACACACACACACACACACACTGGCTAGCCTTGTGTGGAAGTCCTGTTTGATTCTAAAGAGAAGCCAGATACGATTGCCACTGTCTTCCCTAGTTGGTGAACTGATTGATCAGAAAAACTTTGAAGGAAAAAGCAAACAAAATGGACATACTACCCACCTCTCCTGCCTCCCCACTGTCCCTCCCATACAATGTCCCATGGTGACACAACCAGATACTCCAGTTCCAGCCACGATCCCAGGAGTACTCCTTGGTGCTCTACCCTGGGAGTGGTAGAGAGAGTCAGAGAAATTTCAAGGCTATCTCTGTAACAGTCTGTACCCTCTCCTCAATTCCAGTGACTTAACTGCTGCTGGAACACTCCCTGGGACACCAGGCCACAAACTCCAAATTGCTCTTTACCACTGTCAGGAACCCTCCAACCTGTCTGTCTAGACTTGAACCATTGTTTCCATCTTCAGCTATTTTCAGGTTGGATTTATTCAGACTTCACAACCTGTACTGGCCTGTGTCATTTAGATTCAGCTCAGTCTGCTGGAAAGTCCCCTGAGAACCTCTTCTTAAACAGAGAGTGCCTTCCTATTTTTCTATAGTTATTTGGTTACTATTGATACTCATCTCCCTCTTATCTTCGGCCATCAAGAATATTTCCTTCCTATAGCAGACACACTGAACAGACCTTGATTCTATTCCTTTGACAAGTTTCTTTAACTCTCAGTTTCTTCATGTGGAGTAAAATTTGAATGAGATGCTCTTTAAAATTATGATGAACTAATTTAATAAATTATATCACAGCAACACAATGGAATATTATGCCTTAAAATGAATGAGGAAACTCACCATGTTTTGTTTTGTTTTAGACAGAGTCCCTCTCTGTCACCCAGGCTGGAGTGCAGTGGCAGGATTTTGGCTCATTGCAACCTCTGCCTCCTGGATTCAAGAAATTCTCATGCCTTAGCCTCCCGAGTAGTTGGGATTACAGGGGTATGCCACTATGCCCAGGTAATTTTTTCAATTTTTAGTAGAGACAGGGTTTCATCATGTTGGCAAGGCTGGTCTCAAAATCCTGTTGTTTGAGAGTGATCCGGCTAGCTTGACCTCCCAAAGTGCTAGGATGATAGGTGTGAGCCACCACACCCATCCCCAAGGTATGTGATCTATGTGAAAAAGCAATATGTAGAATTATTTCTATGTGTATTTTTGTGTATATGTATGTGCCTGAGAGAAAGAAAGAGAGAAATGTTTGCTGGTATACATATAACAGATTTCTGGAAATGTACACTATAAACTGACAATATTGGTTGCCTAAAGAGAAGGGAACATGGGCCGGGTGTGGTGGCTCACACCTGTAATCCCAGCACTTTGGGAGGCCGAGGTGGGTGGATCACGAGGTTGAGAGATCGAGACCATCCTGGTCAACATGGTGAAACCCTGTCTCTACTAAAAATACAAAAAATTAGCTGGGCATGGTGGCGTGTGCCTGTAATCCCAGCTACTCAGGAGGCTGAGGCAGAATTGCCTGAACCCAGGAGGCGGAGGTTGCGGTGAGCCGAGATGGCGCCATTTCACTCCAGCCTTTGTAACAAGAGCGAAACTCCATCTCAAAAAAAAAAAAAAAAAAAAAAAATCAAGAGAAGGGAGCATGGCAAGTGCCACTGTTAAACCTTTTTATAGCTTTTGAATTTTGAATGTTGCAAATGTATTGCCGATTTGATATGTACCAAATTTAAGTTAAAATTAAAGTAAATTAAAACAAATTTAAGAATAGCTTCACATTCCATAGAACTGCTGTTTACACATCACAACTTTTAAAATTTACCATATTTTTCCAGTTTAACTTTTTGAAGGGAGGAGAATTCCTGCTTGCTAAATGATACAGAGCTATTGTCTGGGCTCTTACACTTAGCTCCTGAGGTCCTATAGCGGACACACTTCGCAGACCTTGATTCCTTTGCCAAGTTCTTTTAACTTTCTCACTTGCTTTAAATGATATCAAATTGTTGCTTGGGCTCTTATAATCAAAATTTAGTCTGTAGCTTTTCAGGTTTTCCCTAGACTTGCTTGTTCATAAAAATAAAAAGTATAAAGTGAGGCCAGGTGTGGCCAGCACTTTGGAAGGTTGAGGAGGGTGGATCACTTGAGGTCAGGAGTTCAAGACCAGCCTGACCAACATGTGAAACCTAGTCTATAAAAAAAAAAAAAAAAAAAATTAGCTGGGCAAAGTGGTATGCACCTGTAGTCCCAGCTGCTTGGGAGGCTGAGGCAAGAGAATAGTTTGAATCCCAGAGGCAGAGGTTATAGTGAGTCAAGATTGCACACCTGTACTCCAGCCTGGGCAACAAAGGAAGACACTGTCCCAATAATAATAATAATAACAGAATGACATTCAAATTATTTTACATGTATGATTCTTATTCTAATCTGTACTTTTGAGAGCATCTTTTTATACAAAATTTCACCATTAAATTGGAAAAGTCTTTAACTTCTCTTGGCAAATGTGAGCCATGTGTACTTTGGAGGAGCAGGCATTTTATTAAAATTTTTGCTTAAATCATGTAGCATCCTCTGAATGTTAACTTTAAAATGTCGAAATTTGGTGAGCCAGATCTTTTAGACGTGAAATTACAATATGCTTGACTTTAAGTGTCATTTGAAAGGGATTGAATATCCATTAAGAAAATTGATAGTTTTGTATATTTTTGATCAGTTGAAAAGATAACAGTATCAATGTGTGGAAATTTTTTCTTAAGACTTGTTCATGTATAGGCTGGGTACAGTGGCTCATGCCTCTAAACCCAGCACTTTGGGAGGCCAACGCTTGCAGATCATTTGAGTTCAGGAGTTCAAGAACAGCCTGGCCAACATGGCAAAACCCCATCTCTGCTAAGAGTGAAAAAAAAAAATTAACTGGACATAGTAGTGCACGCCTGTAATCCCAGCTACTTGGGAGGCTGAGGCCCAAGAATCACTTGAACCCATGAGGCGGATGTAGCAGTGAGCTGAGATCATGCCACTGCACTCCAGCCTGGGCAATGAAATGAGACTCTGTCTCAAAACAAAACAAAACTTGTTCATGTATTATTTTGATCCATTTCTCTGTGATTTGCGGCAGCATTTGGTGCAATAAATCTTTTAAATTTATCTTGTACTATTTTTTAAAAGCATAAAATAAAGTTCTTGGCCTGTTCAAAGCTGTATCTATCTCTAGTATAATCTAGAATTTTAGATAACCTTTTCTGGATCAACAGTAATACCAAACTCTTCTCCGATAAGGGCACAAAGAAAATGGAAAACACACCTCAGCTACCACAGAAGGTTAGGCCAAGGTTGGAGAGAGACAGAGCGTTCTTCCACATTGCCAGTCACGCTAGACAGCCCTTGTACCAATCAAAGGCTGCCCAGACGGAAAACTTCATTTCCCTCTTTGTTATTTAGAGGTGCCTAGAGAACCCAAGAGCATTTTTCAGAATATCAAAGATCACTCATCTCTCCTGTTTTTATCAGAAGTAACCAGTGAGAAGCATAACAATCAGTCCTTGAAAGCCAGGTTCTGGCCTGGGAGTCACAGCTAGGCTTTAGCCCTCTCCTAGGAAACATAAACAATTTCACAGGACATCAATATCATGTAACATGTGACCATGATGAATCAAGACAAAAACAAGACCACTGTATAATTGTAACTGAACACAGACAAAGCATGGGCATTGTCCAGATCACAACAGTGACCAGCTACCACCATATTCTTGCCAATATGACTGCTGTTTCTTTACCAGTTACAGCTTTAGCCTTAGTTTCTTTCCCTATGTAGATATGATTAAGATACCAAATCATATAATTGCTCCCAGTTCTTGACACCGTCTAATCCCGAATGGAGCTTGAATTCCTTGAACCTGTCTCTAAACCACCTAACAAAAGCTCAGATTCTACAGTAAGTCCTTTCTAATACTTTCTTGTTAAGAAGCCCCACGGTCCTCTACAGTACATGTTCTCCTTCAGGGCACCAAGTAACACATCCAACTTGTTCAGCTGCAGGTATGCTTCTGGTGGTCTTTAAGTCTTTGGGAAAGTCTTAGTTCTCAAATCTGGAAATAATTCTCCTGATATTCTAAGGAGCAGAGGGAGCTGCATTTAGGGAGGTAGAGTCACCTGGCTACTTCTCCCAACACATCCTCCAATAACACGTTGGTAAAACCTCTGGAATTAGAACATGGCTAGCTGGCAGTTCTACTGCCAAAAGAGTTGAAATGTGAGTTCTTACCAGGATACTGAGCTGTCAAGCCGCAGTAGGTGGCTACATTGACAAACAGGATGGGCTTGCCTGCAAACTGCTTGAACTGGATGTACCCCTCGCCGCTGAGGGTGAAGGCTCCATACTCATAGATGGTGCCTGTCACGTTGTTGTTGCAATCCACCTGGAGTGTTACAAAAATAACCATATGCATATAAGATAAACAATAATTTCTAACATTTGTGGACTTTTTCAAAACAAAGACCCTTCATGTAATACCTTGAAATTCTAAGAAATGAAGGGAACTTTTCAAGTAAAATTTTTAGTTACAGGTGATGCCGTAGCTAGAATTTATGTCTTCTAAATTACAATCCATTGTGTTTGTGTGTGGCAAGACAAGCATTTCATAATATTCCTTCCATTCCTAGAAGATTAATGCAATTTACCTCTGATCCCTGACACCGCATTCTCCCCGATATCCTAATATCCCATTCCAGTCATGCCGTCCTTCTTTAGATACTCGTAACAGATTTTTGCAGGATTTCTCATAACATAAATAAGTTTTACACAAATATCTCACGTATATGTTCTTATATTGTAATTCCTACCCCCAAAACCAGGCCCATAACTTACTTCTCTAGATGCCATTGAAGGGCCCTTCCAGGCTTGCTAGTGGGGTACTCACTGGTAATACAGAAGGTGGAGCGGGAAGGTGCTGGGTAGAGAAAGGCAGGTCCCCGACTAGGGCTCCACCCTTGGTCCTGTGCCCATGGACCTAGGTGAGGACAGGCACGCCTGCCTTCTCACTCAAATGTTGGCTGCCACGCCCCCATCCTGTGCCTGTGAACCCCGTGAGCCCCGAGCAGGCAGGGACAGGCCGGCCGTGGAGAGCAGCACTGCAGTGGGGGGGGGGGGGCACACCTGCCCCCCTGAGGGCCGCTGGCGGCGGGAGGACGCGGAGTCTGGGCGGGTGGTAGGACAAGAGGCACGACTCCAGGGGAAAACCGTCTCCCTCTGGCTCCCCTATCTGCTGAGAGCTACTTCCACTCCGTAAAACCTTGCACTCATTCTCCAGAAGCCAGTGGGTGTGTGCTGCACGGTGCTCTCTCCGTTTAGCCGTCCGCAGGCAGCTTGTGTTAGCTCAGTTAGACCCCACGTGGAATCGGATCACAGGTACACCAAGGCAAGATCCTGGTATACAGAAAACCCTCTGTCCTTGTGGTAAGGCAGGGGTCTAATTGGGCTAATACAAGCTGCCTATGGATGGCTAAACTAAGAGAGCACCCTACAACACACGCCCACTGGGGCTGCAGCTGTAAACATTCTCCCCGAGATACTGTCTTGGGGTGGGAGCCCCACAACCTGCCTGTCTTTATGCTCCACTAGAGGTTTGAGCAGCAGGACACTGAAGAAGCGAGCCACATCCCATCACATGCCCTGTGATAGGGACTAGGGAGCTTTTCCGGATTCACTGGTACCTTCAAAGCTCATCCTTCACAATCCCTTCTTCTCATTTTCTTACTGCGGAGAAATAGCCAGGACTGCTCATGAATTAAAGTTCATAAATGGAAAGCACAGAGCAGAAAAACTTTCTACCCATAAGCATGCCAATAATAAAAGGCATACGGAACCTGGAACAAAAGGCTAAGATGATATGAGGCAAGAGAGGCTATATTCCTGACCGTGCGAAGAAACATCATAGAGTTTTAGAGTAATTTAAACTGGGCTTCACGGGATCTCAGGCCATGAAAGCCTGCCCCATGCAGTGAAGGACTTACCTGTGGGTGGGCTACTGTGGGGAGAGCGGGGCAAGACAGTCTTTATCATCTCGTAAGTCTGTCAGCAGGACACCAGGCCATAGACTCTCCTTCATTATTCCTTCTGAGTCCATACTTCTCTACACATTGTGCATATGCATTAGTCACAATACCTGGGAACATTAGCCTAAGAAACCCACCAGGATGGGGTTGTCATCTATGTGCCTGCATTTTCTTTGCCCTCATGACACCTTACCTCTGTGCTAAATAATTTCCAGCATTTGTCTTCTTGCTAATATAATTAAAAGCCATATGGAAATCACCATGTGAGCTGTCCTTCGTATGCCTCCATTTTTTTTTTTTTTTGCCTTTGTGCTACCTTAGATCTGGGTGCGAAACCTTCCAAAGGTTTGCTTCCCATTTGGATGTCACTCTGTGACATGAGCTGCAGAATCCCAAGAAAATTGCATACCTAAAGAGCTCAATCCTTCCTAGCCAGCTTTCCGTTCAGCTCCAGTTTGCTTAAGTCTGTTCGTAGAAGACAGAATATCCTAGAACACAGCTTTTAATTCACAAGATGATATTTTACAATAAGAATTCCACACCCAATCGGCAGCAGTGGCTGACACAGACCTGGATGACCCTTGGACGCTGTCCGTTCAAGTGAGCTGTGACCTTTCTTGAAGGAAGGAAGGAAGCTGTGATCTTACCACAGCTGTCAGTCTTATGGTATTTAATATGCATCATCTTACACTTCATGTGAACCCAATCACAGAGGTTAAAGCTCAAAGCTTCAGGTTTGGAGACTTGGATGAATATCAACTGGAAGCATTTTAGAAATGCAGATTCCTGCGCCCCCCTTAAAACTTACTGAATCAGAAACTCTTGGGTGGGGCCCAGCAACTATGCTTTAGCTCTCTCTTAGGTAAGCTCAAGTCTGGGAATCACTGCATTATATGATGGGCGTTTTTCTCCACCTTTTATAGAGAAGAGAAAGGGACTAACAAAAGGTAGATGATTGGCACATGGCTACCACTGAGGCTGCTTTTGAACAAATTCATCAGATTTTAAAGTTAAAATTTTCAGGTGCCTCAAGTGATCTGCTCAGTCTGCATTTTAAGACATTTGTATATATATATCTTTTACAGGGTTGGCTATTGACATGCAATGGGGGGACTTTCCTAAATAGCATCAGGAGATTTGGGAGCAACACCAAGATCTGAGAACAAAGCCTACTCGGAGCTGAGCTTTGTCTCTATCTCACCTCATTACCTTCCCTAAAATTAATATTGGCAGGCAACTATATTGGCCTTATGTGTTTTATTTTTCTAGGGGTGTAGGGCTGGGGCAGCTCCTTTCTCTGTGACCTTGAAACTCCTAGTGCAGACCCCAACACCATATTATCTCCCTCTCCTTCTGGGTTTCTGGTTGAGCAGCCTCTCCAGGAGCAGCCAGGGCAGCCTCCCTGTCAGTCTATTTGCTACTTCTTGCCTCATTTGTGGGGATCCACAGCACTACTCCAAGTTACAGACCAGCATGGAGGGGACAGGTTCTGGGCTATCAAGGGGCCACCAGGGGGAAGTAGCACAGGAGAATGTGCTGAGGCAGCCCCCTCCCACCCTACTCTGCATACATTCAGTTCAAAGAACTAGGTGCAGAGGAAAAGATGCAACTAAGACACAGTGGATTTAGGGAGCACCTCTGCTGCTAAGGACAGCAGGGTCAGGGTTTGTGAAGAAGGGGTGGGAAGGCAGATCTTGTCTTTTGAAAGCAGAGAGGAGAGGACTCCTCACAACTCTGGAGGCAGGTTGGTCATCACAGGCTGGAATCAGTTTGGATCCCCTGCCCCATGCTTACCTTCCTATCTTCAGACTTTAGGGTCTGCTGAGCAAAGCTAACCAGGAACAACGGGACAAGACAGGAGGCCTGGAAGTGCCGGATCATGGTTAGGAGGTTTAGATGACTCTGAGGTCGCCAGGATTTCAGCCCCTTTTGAGCCCCTGGCAGGGACCAGTTTGAAGAATCACCCTCCAATTGCAAAGTGGCATTCATACACACCCACCTCCACTCCCTACACACACCCTCTTCCTCTTCAGTTCTAAACCCCTTGTCATCGAGCCTGCTCCACCTGCCTTGCCTCTGCCAGGTTTGCACAAAAGGCATTCTCTGCCTCTGGAAACTAAGGTCTGGGTGGGGTGGAGTTCTTATGAACTCTCTTGGAAGATAAGGTTTTAGTTATCTCAGATTTCTGAGGTCTTTTCAAAAGTCCTATAATCTATGCCCTGATCACTGATACCTGATCTAGCCATGCAGGTTCTTAGGGCAGCATGGCAGATGCTTGCCTTTGATGGAACAGACCTGCACACATTCCCAAGCTCTTTAGCCGTCTGCTGTTTTAGCTCAAAAAAATGGCTGAAGCTTTGACTACGAAGCTATCAAAACCATTGAATGTAATACCTGTCAGTGCCACTATCTTGATTCTGAATCAAAGTTAATATGTCTGTCCCCAGTTTTCTCATCTGTGAAATCAGAATGATAATATCTACCTTGTAGGGCTGCTGTGGCAATAAAATGCGGTAATAACTATAAAGCACTCAGCACATGGCCTGACCATGGTAAACAACTAGAACTGTATTCACACAGCTTCATGTATGAGAAAACTGAAGCTCAGAGAGAGAGAGAACGTATCAAAAGTCATGGAGAGTGTAACAGAAGACAACTTCTGCTTTCTACTCCAGAGCCGTTGCTCTGGCTCCATTTGGATCATAATTGTTGTGATGAAATCTTTACTGTCTGAGACAATTTACATTTGCTCACCTTTTAATAATAAGTCCTTGAGAGGCCAGGAGACATTTCATTATAGACCTCATCAGTAGGTCAGAGGGCCTAAAACCCCAATTTCATAGGTTTTGATGTTCCCATATTCTTGATAAACTTTTGAGTATCCTGGGTCCTTGTCTCCAGCAGTGAGAAGTGAAGGTGCAGGAGCACACGCTGAACGGGAGAAAACAAGTAGCATTTCATGTTCCTGGTCCACCCGAAGGTATCTCGGGGCTGCAATTGCTCTTCTCCCATCCTCCTTTGGAGTCTTAGTTCCCTGTTAGCTCCTTCCAGGAATTTTGCTTTCATGCCTTAGCTGTCTCCTCACTTTCACGATCTTCTCCAGTCCCTATTTCCTTCACACACTACCTCTATGACTCTTCTAAAGGTCAGGTTTGTTGATATCGCACATGTTAAAGTGCCTCAATTCCTCCTGAATTCTTACACTTTTAGTTTGAAATTCTCCCATGAAGCACTCAAGGTCCTTTGTGATTTAATGTCAGCCACATTTCCAGATGTAACCCCCTTCCCTTCAGAAATGTTCTGATTCTGGCAGATAGAACTGTCTTCATCACCAAAGTCCACCTATCTGGGGTTTGATTCTTGATAATTCAGATCAAATCTTGGCAAGTACTTCAGGATCATTCCTGAGAGATTTTAGCATACACGAATTACATGTTTTTATTCAAAATGATGGATACAGCTTTGTCAAACAAGACTTTAGAGGTAACTTTCTGAGGCTTGAGTCACAAATCAGGTTCTGGTGAGCTTGACCAGTGCTGGGGCAAGAAAAGATCAGAAACACAGGTCAGTTTGTCTCCATCACCAGCAGTTTAGAAGACACACATAGACAGGATTCCAAGGAAGAGAAATGATTTGTACGAGGTCACAGGGTGTTGTGGGTTGAACGGTGCCCCCTGAGAAAGAAGTGTTGAAGTCCTAACTCCCAGTAATTCAGAATGTGACCTTCAAAATGGGGTCACTGCCAATGTGACTAGTTAAGATGAGGTCCTACTGGAGTATGGTTGATCCTAACCCAATATAACTGTTGTCCTGATAAAGAGGCAGCCATGTGAATACACAAAGGCAAGAGGAGGGTGCCCTGTGAAGACGGAGACAGAGGAGGGAGTTAGGCTGCTGTGACTAAAGGAACATCTAGGGCTACAAGAAGCTGCAAGAGGATTCCTTTCAGAGGAAGCATGGCCCTGCTAACACCTTGATTTCGCTCTTCTCACATTCAGAACTATGAAATGATAAATTTCTGTTGATCTAAGTCACCCACTTTGTGGTGCTGTGTTATGGCAGCCCTAAGAAACCAATAGACAGAGCAAGTGGGTTTCAGTTTAGAGACAAGAAGGAAGTTCTCTGATTTCTTTCCAGATTCTTCCATTGCCTTATGTCTGCACTTGTGATGTAGATATTTTCATTCTCAGCTTCTCTGATAAAAAGAAAACAAAAGTCTTTATTGTTTCTATATAGTCCTTCATCTTAGTTCTCAATAAAATTACTTCTTCATGTATCTGAACCCTCACTTAAAGATGCAAGTCTCCACTAGATTCTATCTGAAAGATTTTTCTGATGTAATCCATTTTCCTAGGTACCCAGGGCCTCGTCTCAGGGATTTCATTCTCTGCGTTACAAGTTGGAGACAGAGATTACAAATCCAGACCAGCCATAATTTTGTGATTCTATGCCACCCATATAGTAAATTGCATTTTCACATTCACCATCTCATTTTGTTCTCATCACAAGAGGAGAAATGAGGCAGAGAATTTACAAATGTGAGAGTAAGTTTAAAAATATATTTTCCCAATTTACAAATATGAGATAAGTTAAAAAGTATAAAGTCACTTGACTTCAAATCTAACTTTTCCTCTGTTTTTAAAAATCTCCTTTGAATTCTTCAAATATACTAACTGCATGTATTGTGAATTTGAAGACAGTGATGTTTTTGCTGTAGCTTCTTTTTTGTTTCTTTTTTCTTTTTTCTTTTTTGCTTCATTTTTATTTTTTTTTTCTGTAGCTTTTTTATTACACATTTATTCATGTTTGTGGCAATTAGCGCCTCATTTCTGAGGACCCCTCAGATCTCAGCTGGCTGTGCCCTGAATCTTTAGCCTTCATTAAGGCACTGGCCCTGACTCAAAGCTCTCCTCCAGGTTCTGCCACTGTTGCCCACATCTGCTCCGGGAAATATTTCTAGTGTTTGGTGAGACAGAAGGGGCAATGTAGGAAGAAGAATATTTACTTTCCTAGGTAGCACCCGTGTCTATTATTCCCACCTTAAAGTACCAGAAAAGTGCCGCTGTGTCTACACATAACTATGACCACCTAAGAGGCGCGCAACACTGACAAAAGGTAACTCATTTCGCCACAAAACCGGGTGACTCCCAAAAAGGCATAGCCCGGAAGCTTCGGTGACTTAGGCCTAGCTCCTCCCTAGGAAGGAAGGAATATGCCCGTCTTACCAACACTGCAGATCAAACTCTGCTGTTAACCTACGTAGAGGATTGGGACTAGGAAGACGACTACATTTACTTCCTTCAACATTTTATAGTCTTTTAATAGTTCCTTGTCTCTTGAGAAGTTAGAATCTCTTGATGATCTTATGTGACCCATTCTCACCTTGAGAAGGCTGAGATAAGAGAGAAACTCTAAAATTTTAGTGCTCAAATATTTGAGCTTCTTCACTTCATATATGGAAAGAAAGAGGTGCAGGAGGTGGAGTGATTCACCCTTCAAAACTTACACAGCCTTGGCTGGAGCACAAGCATTGGCCTCTATTGCTGTAGCCGTCAAATTAAGCTAAGGGAAACAGGAGATGGGGAAACTTGACTCTTCCCGTTTGATTTTGACGGCCGTGGGTTCTAGTCTGGTAGATCCCTGTAATGTTCAGTCTTCCCAGAGTCAAGTCCATCTGTTCCTCGGACCACGGCCTGGAAGAGGAAAGGTTGGCAGGAAGAAGTGGTGCTGGGTGGGGGTGGGGGGTGATTCAAGAGATAGAGTGGGGATAATGTGGAGAAGAAATACGGGAGCAATAGAGAGAGAGGAGAGAGAAATGAAAAACATAGAGGGGAAAAATAAACTATAAAGAGAAGCAAGGGAGGAAAACTAACATGTGTTAATTCCCTTTTTACTCTGTGTCAAGCATGCTTACATAGACTCTCTTATTTAATCACATCCAAAAGTATCATAAGGCTGATATTTTCCACCGTTTCATGAGTAACAATATGAATACTGAGTAAAAACATAATTTTTTCGCAGTTTCATACCTAGTAATACGTCAGACTGAGACTCACACTCAAGTTGCGTTCTCATCCAAAATCCAAATCTTTTTATTTTGATTTTTCCTGCAGTAGGGTATCTAATGGCTCCCAAAGGTATCAGGTTTTAATCCCTGGAACCAGTAAATGTTGTTTGACACGGCAGATTTTGCAGGTGTGATTAAGATAAGGCTCTTGAGCTGGAGAATTATCTTGGATTATGTGTGCAATCACATGTATCCTTATAAGAGGGATTCAGAGGGAGATTTTACTACAGAAGACAGGAGAGCTAAGGCAATGGAAGCTAGAGGGTGGAGTGATGCCAGGAAGGGGTCACAGCCCTTCCGTTTTCTGTAACATGAGCGTCCTTTCCTTCTAAGCCCTCACTTTAATGTTCTTATTTCTAACAAAACTCAGTTCAAGGCATTTTAGGCTTTTTTTGTATTTTTTTTGTAGAGACCGGGTCACACTATGTTGTACAGGCTGCTCTTGAACTCTTGGGTTCAAGAGATCCTCCCACCTTGGCCTCCCATTGTGCTTGGATGATAGCATGAGTCACCACACCTGGCCTCTAGGCTTTTCCTATGCTCACTTCAAAATCCTTCCACCTTCTACCTATTATCCCATTCCAGACGCACTTTGACATTTTCGTGAGTTTGTTACAGTAGCATCCTTTTTGGTACCATAGTCTATACTACTTTTCTGTAGCTACTGTAATTAATTACCACAAATTTGGTGACTTAAAAGAATAAAACTTTATTCTCTGATAGTTTTGGAGGCCTGAAGTCCAAAATCAGTTCGACTGATTGCATCAAGGGCAGGACTCTGGGGATGAATCTCTTTCCTGTCTTTTTCAGCTCTGGTGTCACCGGGCTTTCTCTGGCTTGTGGCTGCATCACTCTCAC